TCCTGGCTGGCAGGTGGTACATTGCTCCTGATTTGTAACTCCTCTTGATTTTTGGTGATAGAAACTTTTTTCAATATTTTCTTCTTCATGCAATTAGGGGAACTACTGGTATATTCACCTGGTACAATACTAGAGTAAGCAGCAAAAAATTAATTGATGGATTTGTTTGATAAGCTCAGGCATCTTGAGCTCTTTAAATCTCTATTCTGCCATTTTCTCCGACCTTCTAGCCACAATTCATCGAAACTGTTTTACCTAGCTGCTAACTTACATATTCCAGTGTTGGTTTCACCAACACACGGGCAGAGGTCAAATCACTCTCTTATTCTTACCTGTTACGTCCTTACTCCTATCTGTTGCATATCCAAGGATTATGATTACTTCGGCAACCTCTGCTGACATATCACACTTAGAGCCTATATTGAATTCCTCATGCTCTTTGGCATCATCCGTCTATTTTCAGAAGCTGTCAGCATACTTTATAAACAAAGAAAGCATCATTTTCCCAGTTTTCAGATGGAGAATTTGAAGCACAGTGCAGTGAAGTGACCAGCCTGACATTGACTGATGGTTAAATGGCTGAGCTGACTGATGGTCGCATATTGGACACTCCTGGAAGATTCATTTCATCTAACTTTAAATAGCTACAATATCTACAGATGTGGACTGGTCATTGGGCTCCTCAATAATTAATAGAGAGAAGAAGGGACTTTTAGTGCAGGTTTTGGCTGGGATAGAGTTAATTTTCTTCATAGTAGCTATTAATTTATCTGACTTATCTGAAACATCTATTTTTTAATGGGTTGAATGTCACATAAGTCTTCGTTTCTTCTAAAGGAAGCCTTAAATGATTGTTTCAGATGCAGTCATCTGTATTAAATCAGGTCTGAATTCCACCTTATCAGACTTGCAGAAATGACTACTGACTATGCAAAGTCAGTATTTGGAGAGCTTCAAAGCTAGTCAAAGGCAGGGCAGGTCAACGAACCTTTTCCTAATGTGACTAAAGGGAAATCCAGATGAATCTGTCAAGGAATTCTTGATTAGCTTCTGATGCCTGGGTCCAGGTCACTGACTCAGCAGGTTTATGTAAACAGTTACCATCTACTAGATCATCACTAATGATTAATTAATTATAAAAGGATCACAAGAGGCTACAAGGCTTATATTCATAATGCAGTGGTGCTAAGTTAAAAAAAAGGCTACACAACTTAGGTGGCTTCTGAAAAGTTGATAAATGTTTTGCAATCACTATGGAAGCAGTAGATTCCGCTTACGATTGCTCTCGACTTTTTCAATAGCTTGCACCCAGTATGGTGTAAGAATTCACAGAATAACATCAGTTCTGGACCTATAGAGTTCAGTTTAATCCTGTGTGAAAAGGGGTCTTGATTCAGCTAGAGTAGAATTAATCTCTGCAAATGGCAGATGATCACTGACCCCCTGTTTTGAGCAGGTCCTTTTGCATCACTTGGAACATGTCCAACCTCAGTTATGGCTCTCATTGGTAGTGGAGAAAAAGTCACTTCTGGAGCTTTATTCCCCTGTTTACCTTAAGATCAAATAAATTTTACCTTCCACCTGCCTGCTCCACTCCATTGACTCTAACAGTATATAAGGCAACTAGCTCAGTATGTGGCAGAGATCAAAGGTTAGACGAGTTAAATCCTACCCAGGCTGTATTTCTAACATGGGTATCTTTCTTATTATTAACAGAGAGGACAAAGATTAAAAGATGTAATTCTGTTCCCACTGTAGTTAGAACTTCTAAGTCAGGATGGGTGAGTGTGGGAAACATCCTAATACTAGAAAAAAAAAAATCAGAAGAATTTCCTTTAAATCGGGTTTTTCGTTTCTACTTTCTGCTTGTTTTATCTCTGAGTGCTTTCTTATTAAGATTTTAAGAACCTATTTCTCAATTAGGAGCTAGGTAAGAAGAAGACATTTTACAGGACCTTTACTAAGTTTATTGAGGATCTTTATTGCTGAATGATTAGAACCTTAGTACCATTTTGCATGCAAAATCCTCTTCAGTTTAAAAAAAGTGCATTGGCATTTTTTATTTATTGTATTAAGAAATATGTACTTAGAAATATGTGACTGATGATCAATAAAATACTTCATTCAGATCCTGCAATTATTCATTCCTTTGTTCTTCCAGAAAGTTTACCTTGTTATCATTAGCTTTGCATACAGCTTGGAGCACATCTTTATACAACTCACAGCTTTCTCCCTAAATCACTTCAAACTTATCATTCATTCTGTCTACCCTCCCCTTTCACTGTTATTTGGATGCCCTCTTGAAGGAAAATTATGTTTTCTTAGATATGAATTACATGTGTGTTTACACTGAGCACAAAGTCAATATTTATTTGTGTTCTTTACCCTGTAACTGATTTAAGCACTTGGCACAGTTTGGGAATGAGCCTTCCAAATGACATAGTTGATCATTTTAATTACTTTGCTGTTGTCTTTCAGATGTCTCATGCAGCCACTAGTGCCTTTTGTCGTTCTATTAAGCTGCAGTGTGAGCTTTATCCCTCCAGAGAAGTCGCTATCTGCTTGGACCCCTATTGTGGACTTGGGTTTGTCCTCTGGTGCCTCTGCAGGTGAGGTTTCTCCTCAACCGTTTGAAATCCCATTTCCATTGTACTATAACACAACAAACGGGATGATGTGAGTCGTAAAAGGATGGGAAGAACAGACAGTACCTCTGGGACTGACATAGGCAACTGGAATTGCTAGAAGCTGTATGGAGAGTGCTGTATGCTTTGTTTGAGCGAGACATGGCCGTAGGTACGTAGACTTACGAGTGCAGAGCATCAGTACAGCTGCTTATTGACCTCCTGCTGTTTTACTGCTATGTCTGCAGGGTCTGGCTGGTTTCATTTGATGAAGGCAGCATTCTACCAATATTACCTTAAGGAAGTGGTTTCCTGGTGTCCTCTTTTTCATTCTCTAATCTGAAAGCACGAGTAGATATCAGGGACTTCCTCATTTGTGGGACATATGGATGTGATTTTTGCAGAGACATGGAAGTGTGGTTTCTTGCAGAAGGATACTTCTATGGCAGTAGCAAAGCTATCAGAAAAAAAACATTTCTAGTGAGATGTGAATCAGCTTTTTTTGTCAATAAATTTAGAAATTTAACAATTCTGTCAATCTCTATACTCCAGGGAAGTTACAGTTCAGCACTGAAAGCAGTTCCATTGATTTTTTTCTTTCTTTTTGTTTTTTTAAGTTAGCTGGGTTGATGCTGAGGCAACAGGACAGAGCTATGGGAGTGTTAATGGAGCACATTTTTATGAAGACATTTTAGAGTAACCATAGTCCAACATCTTTGCTGCCATCATAGAAACTTCTTTAGTGTTAGCAGTACTGCTATTTTTAGTTACTAAAATGAAGATAATCTAGGGCAATAAAAATACTCTGGACAAGCTTTTTACCAATTTACTACATACCTGAAGGATCCATTGTTTGATAACAACTGCAATAATTTGTTTTCAGCAATTACTGTTTATTTAAAAGTAGACTACTGACATGTTTTGTTGCCCTTTTAAAATATTTGTTATTAATTATTAAAGGGACCAAAGATTAACAGTATTATCTTATTCATTCTTTATCAGTCTTTCTTGATTTAAACTGTACCTGCCCTAATACTATTTCAGGTTTTATATAAGGATTAGAGATTTCTTTGTTTCAAAAAATCATTTTTTTTCAATGTCTTATTTCCCCAACACAAAAATAAAAATATTGAGACTGCAAAAAACCTCAGAAAATGTTTTAGAAATGTTGAGATTTTAATTAAATCACTCTATTTAAGTTAGATTTTTTAAATGTTGATTTTTTAAGACAGTTGAATATTTCTTATCTAGATTTACATGTTCCAGCATGCCCTGGTGTCAACATGGTTAGGCTGTAGCTCTGCTGGGGGCTCAGCCAAATCTGCCATGGTGCATTCAGTGAGCCCAGGGAAGGACTGTAGAGCACCACGCAAGAGTTCAGCTAAGGAGTGTATTATTGTATGGGATAATGTTGGGACATGGAGCATCCAGGAATAACTTCTATGCAACATCATAATAGAGCCGTAAAATACAGATAAATGTTGACTGGTCCAAACCCCAAGTAATTTGTGGTGCCCATGACTCTCCCGAATATAGAAATTTTTGTTTCTTCCAGAACCATATTTGCAACAAATAATAAGCATTTGCTACCCTTAGGTCCTTCCCAGTACTGATGGTATTCAGCCTTTTAGGAGGAGAAGATTGTTTATGACTGGCAAATGAATAAGGCAGCAAGCCTTTGGGAGAAAGCAATCAAGGTCTGTGCCCCTCTGTAGCTTATAGAAGGAACAGAAAATTTTATAGCATTTTCAAAGAAGAGAAGGGAAACAAGGGAGTTAAAGGAACTGAGATCAGGCCAGCAACACTCTAATCTTATGAACCGTCGTGTCAGTCTCTTCTTTGCCACTGATCTCCTGTTCCTATAAAACCAGAAAAATTGCAGGCTGCTTGAATTGTGACTGTCATTTAGAGAAAGTTGACATCAGATACAGCTTCATTAATTCCACTTACAAACCTAATTTCCATTTCATTACTATTTTAGAAATGAGTTTTTTTATTATTTGATGTGATAGCAAAAAATACATCCTGGATATTATTAGACCCTTACTCTTCATAACTTAAAACTTCACAAGTTTCTATTTTGCTCTTTGTAGTTTAGCATACCCAAATCCTCCCCAACATTTTACATCCCAGATTTCTACCTCAGAGGATTCTACTGTAAAGTTACAATTGTCTGTCACCACTCCCATTAACTAAATTAATACTTCTGATGGCATATAGAAATGAAATTAGATCTTCAATTTTTTATCAGGTAGGGTGTTTTGAGAGTTAAATAGGAACTCTTTGTTTTAGGACCCCAGCAGGAAGAGAAAGCAACCTCCTGTTCTGGGTGCAGTTAAAATGACAAGTACATTTTAATCCCTTTATTAACTAGACCAAAGGAGGCATTGACTAAGGAATGAAAGAAAAACTAACCTTTTATCCCCGTTGTAGGTGCTTAGACGTTGTGCTGGCCTGCTCCACTGCGGTGCCCCAGAATGCCCCATTTTGTGAGGTCAAAGCTACTTAGGAAAGCTGCTGGAGCATGGAGCCAGCCCTTTGGTAAGTTTGGAATATATTGCATAGTTTTGCAAAGTTTTTATTTTTAAAAAATTTATTATTTTATGGCCTAAAGGGTATAAAATAATAAAGAAAAGAAACCTTGCAAAGCAGAGCAATACATTTTTTTTAAAAAAAGGTATTTACCACATTCCCTCTAAACTGGCTGCATGCTCCAGCAGGGTTTCCTTGGAACCTTTGTCATTGAACAACACGTCTTGGGTGTGGCGGCAGCCATCAGCCCCATGTGAGTTCACAAACCCCAAACTTCCTAATTTTAACAGGTTCTTACTAATGACTCAATAAAAGAATACATTATTTTGGTGTTTTTAATAATCTTATTTATCCGTTCTGAGAGGATGATCCTAGTATTCTGACTTGTGTTGTATTACGTTCTCTGAAAGAAAAAAAAAATTAGAAGTGTCCTTCAATGTAAAAAAATTCAATACTAAATCCCGTTATTCAAAAATGCTTCCTGAAATTAAGATGTCCCTATCTTAATGCTGCTCACTGTGGGGCAGGATAGAACATTCCACAGTTTGTTAGTAAGGATTTACTTTATTGATAGTTGCTGAGTGATACAATAAGATCAGAATTTTCCCTCCATTTTAGCCCAGCTAAGCCAACCCATATTGCAGTTCTAGTTTTACTAGTGGAAGATAAAATTGTCCTTGCTCAAATTAAAATTAAATACGTTAATAATTTTAAATAAATTCTATATGTATTGTCAGAAACTGAGATTGTAATAGTTCCAAGTCAGTAAGACTTGGACTGGACCAGAGGAACTGAATTTTCCAGCCCACAGTGGTCATATAATAAGTAACGTGAATGCTGTAAAATGGTCCTGGGAAGGCTTTCCAGGTAAGGTGCAGTGAAGTAGCTTTCTCCTGTCCTGCTTCTGCTGTCTCTGTGGCTTCCATAGCCACAAGCTGAAGTCCCCAGTGGTGCTGCTGGGTAGCTTCTGCAGCAAGAGACTGCAAGGTTTCTTATTAACCAAACAGGTCGAACTGTGCAAGAAGTAAGCAAGGAATTGCAGCATTAACACAAGAACTGCATTTTAGAAAACTTAAGCCTGCTAGGACTCATTAATTATTGTTAGTTTTTTTAGGCTAACTTGAAGATATCTGGCAGGCATGAGCATTTCACCCAATTTCCAGGCCATTTGTAGCAAATTAAAGGCAAGACTGCATAAAGAAGCCTAAATGCCACATCAGAAAATGGTAATTCTGACATTGGAAGTGAAGGATATGAACATGGCTATCTCTCATGTGTTTTGCAAAGTGCATAACTGGGGCAGGAGGAATGTAAAGGTGGGTCTGCCAGCACACTGCCTATTTCCCTGTGAAGTCTTTAGCCACTGGCAATTTGTGGAAGAGGCAATTTGCATTTCTTCCACATTAGAATAGGTTTGTTAAACCTGCCTCAAGTCTAGAAGGTTCAAGGGCAGCTGAAAGGCCTGAGTTACCTTGATATGCGAGTTCTGCTATGGGTTGACAGACTAACTCCACCGGCTCTGTAGACCTACCCCTACATGGGGGAGTAACTGAGGCAGGAGAGGCGGTCCTAAGACAGTGCTCGAGTCTGAGCAATGGCTTGTAAGTACAAACTGTGCTGTAATGAACTGAGCCCAATGCATTTAGTCTCTGCCTGCCTTAAGATGTCTCTAATGCCAGTGCCAACAAAAACGGCGCTGCCATCTGCATCCTTCAGTTAACCTCAGGCTGTGTTCTCTGTGCAGGGCAAGGTGGCCATCTCTCTTTTTTCTTCCATACAATATAGACGCAGTGGCCAAATTTTTAAAACTTGCTCACCTTCTTTAAGTGTTTAGATAAAGGGACTTTGTGTTGAAATGGCTCTGAGCACTCCAGGTTCCACCAAGTGTATGATTCCCACTCCTGGTGCTGTTGGGTGATCTGTTTGTGCTCAGGATCAGTCAACAACACGCTTCCCAATGAGAAGTTACACATCAGTTCAGAAGCGCCCAGGAGCAACCTGGAGCCACATTAGAAAGCTTCCCTTGTGAGGCTCAGAGATTGCTGAAATGCGTCTGAGAGGCGGAGGTTAAAGCCTTTTGAAGACACGTCAGTAACAAGAAGTTCAAGTTAACCTCTGTCTCTTGTTCTGGGCAGACAGCACCGTCCCAGCTGTTCCCAACAGGAACAAAATACTGACGTTTCAGTGTTAACCAAAGACTTACAGGTATCTCATTGGGGAACCAACACCAGAGCCTGAGTTACAGCAAAGTGCTGGATTATGGCACCGCTCTCACCAGCTCCCAGAACTCTGATGTGGAAGTTGTAAAGACTGGACCTATTCTCAGCACCAGAAGCCTATCAAGATTTATGGGTGTGATCTTTTTGTTTCTGGGGAAAGCTGCGTGCCCTACGCAATGGTACCTTTTGCTATACATTAGTTAAACTTCTTTGTGAGATATCTCTGTCCCTCCA